TATTTATTTATACATTTCACCATGAGAAGAATCGCTATAGATCATAACTTAAGCGAAAGAGATCGATCTGATATCGCTGGTCTACACTTTTAAGGTAATATATACGCTTAAAATTTCATATATCTTATCAAAAATATGATGAATTTTCTATTAAAATTAACTCGATTGATTAGAGTTGACTGAGGATATTGAATTTATTTATGTTTCGATTGTTTATGTATCGCCCTGTATTTATTCGTAAAGTGTAGTTTTGTTCTGAGAAAGGAAAGAACACTTAATTAGTGTCTAAAAATTCAATTGAATAAATATTTTATTAAATTTCAATTATATATGAAATGAAATCATAATTTAATCTAGTGTAATTCTATTACCAAATAAAGTTATTTTATTGTTTCATTTCACGGACTGTTTATTTTTAAGTTATGATTAGACTTTATTAAACATGTTAATTGTGCTTGTCTTGACCAACCATGCATAAAACTAGCTTTTTATGGAGCAGACAAATTAGAATTAATTTTTGTTCGTATTGATCTTAAGGCTTTTTTTTTGTCTAGATTTTGTCTCTGTCAAGTGTGCATCTTTCTTTTACAGCATCGGATAAAAATGAAAATAAATTTCTTTTCTTTATTGATTAGTACACTGATTCTTTTGAATACACTTATAAGCAAAAGTATTAATAAAACATTAACTTTACTTAAATTCTAATAATTTCTCTAGATTTAAAACTTAAGTTACAAGTATCAATAAGTTCTTGATAAATTAACATCTGCTGAAGTTAAGAATCATGAACTGTCATGTACCTTGTGATGATTCGGTGTTATTGATTTTCGCGCGTGAATTATTGTCGATTTTCTTCATTGAAAAATCAAAATTAGGAAATAGTTCTATTAATATCATTAGTCTATGTTGGAAGCGAATATTATATCATGGATAGAGATGCATAACATTAGGACTAAGAGAAAAAAAGTTGTTTCATCAGAAACTTCATATTATATTTAAATATTCTGTGATTTCACGCGAATTACCTTATAAATCAGAACATAATTCAAGAGAGATGATCCAAAAAAAGTGTTAATTCATCGACTAAATAAATTTAAAAACAAATATGAAAGAATTTTTTTTGTTGTAATAGGAACAAATTCTAAAATAGTTTTCTCTAGACCAAAACCGAGACTAAAAAAACCTTGTTCGGGCATATCTCTCATCATGGAGTTGTTGATCAATTAAAACGATATAACAAAATGAAAATATCAATAGTCTCAGAATTCTAATGTATGTAAGCGAAACGACACTTACTAACGAATACTTCAACAAACCATTAAGTTTTAACTAATATCGTGATTTTTTTGCTATTTGATTTGTAAAAAAAAAACTGACTAGTGCAAGCATGTGACTGAAATATTTATTCGATAGTTCAGAAAAAAACAAACTATATCTATTTCTTTAGAGTGAAAATGGTTGATTTTCAAGGTGTTTGTTTACAACGTCAATTACGATTCGAAAAAAGTTCAAGTGGTCTATTTCGTGGTGTATGTATAAAAAAAAACGTATTAGTTCATTGTCTTCAAACTTAATTCTTCGTTTTCTTAGATTCTTCAAACAATTTCCATCATGATATGGAACATTATTAATCATGTTGCTATGTATGAAACTTACCCATTTTCATTTAAATTATCTTTATTTTTTAATTGAAGGATTCTGGTTCGTGATATCACATTTTGGCCACAATGGACTTATGCAGCAAAAAAAGCTAATATTGCTAATCAAAATGCAACTGCCAATGAACCTCCGCCTAAGACTCATGTTCGAGAAAGTCTTAGTAATATTCTTTTAACACATATCGATTTTCGTCGTCCAATATTAGATCATAAGGGACATAATGTAACGAAAAATGATGATAGTATTGAACGAATACCTGAATCATGTATTGAAGAATTTAATTTATATGTATCAACATGGAAAGGTTGGCAAGGACCATTACCATCACCAGATAATTCTATAACATGGGAACAAGTTGAACGTGAAAATTCTGTATATGGTACAGCTAGTTGTACACATGGTGCGAAAGAAACATCAGAAAATAGTGATGATTTATATGGAAATCAGACAAATGGAACAAATTTTTCAACAACAATTCCAACACCACCACCTTTACCCACCGCTGAAACATTTAGGTAATACAAAAGATCTAAATCAATGAAAATGATTATTGTCTTTTCTTTTTAAGTTATTCAATATCAAAAATTCCTAAAAGTAATTTAATGATGATTTATGTCAATCATCCAAAAGAAACATCACAATTATGTCCAAAATTAATCATAAAACGTAAACCAGTAGAATTTTCACCAGACGAATGGTGTACACGTTTAAAAACAACACCATTTCGTGAAAGACCACAAAAATGTTATTTTGTACATGATGGAGAAAATCTTACATTATTTTCAAAATGTTCAAATGCTATTCGATTGACAAACCATAATTTAATTAGCAACATTATTTGGATTTTTATTCTATCGTTTCATTATATGAGAAATTGAAAGGAAAATAATCTGGCGCTGGCAGCCCGGTGTGTGTGTGCGTGTGTTTTTGTTTTTCTTGGAGATCCAAAACATTGTGCATCTGTATAAGTCATGGTTTCCTGTTTGTTTGTTTGTTTGTTTGTTTGTTTTTTAAGAAATTTTCCTTTTTTGATAGAATTCGCATAATCAATAAAATATTTTATCGAAGATAGGGTTAGTTTTTATATGTCAATCCACATGTTTTGTAAAATTCGAAACAAAAAAACGCATAAATAAAAAAACAAATTTTATACTGACAGTGTAGTTTAATTGCTTCTAAATATTTATACATGGTTAATAACTTCTATTCCAATTTAATGAAAATTCGAACAGCTAATTGATTTTTTTTAAATGTTTGATATTTTTTTTTTTCTTTAATCATTAAAACAATGGTAGAATCAGATGAGAAATTGATAAGACTTTGAGATTCGATACAAAACGAATGGGTTGTACTTAAATGCTAACTTCAAACTTCTTTACAATAGAACCTGTTGGCTTCAAAATATTTGGAGCCTGTTTAATCAAACTTTTTCACATTCAGACGAGATGGAATCGTACTTTGATACTCTCAAAGAAAAATTCTAAATCGGAACTGCATAGTCGCGTCGAAAATACTAGAGATTTTGTTTTCAATTCTTAGTAGTAGATGACTAGTGCAGCTTACACATTTGTCAGACGACTAGAATTTGTCGGGTTCAAAATTTTAGGATTCGGGCCCAATAAATTGCTGTGGAGAGCTCGAAAAAAAAAACTCGAACGCAAAACTCTCGAAACACAAACTGCCGAATAAAATTGAATTTCGAATAGCTAAAATTCCAAAAATCAAATCTAGAAAAGATGCCCTCTCGTTGTATTACCGCTTAGTCAATTTTATGTAAACTTTCCTACCAATCGAGAATTTTTGGAGTTCAGGCGTGAATGAAGAGAAGACCCACGTGAGTACACCGGCACCCTTTGAACAAATAAATGATTTTTCCTTATTTACCTTTTTATGCTTTCTCGATTTCGTTACTTTATTGTCATGCATTTTTTAAATAAAATATGAACTACAAACACAAGTTGTTCGATTAACATATCAAAATCATACGCCGCAATCCGTTGAAGATTTTTTAGTGCGAAATTTATCAATGTCAAGTTTTTTACATCATACCGATCCAATTGAGTCTGGAAACAACCCGGCGATCTCTACTTTACAGATATGATCAGAAGACCGAATCTCCTTAAGTTTTTACTGATTATTCCACTGCATTGAAGTGCTACTAATTTTCATTTATGTATTTCAAAAATTTTCGATAAGTCCAAATAACATTCCAAATTAGATTTATTTTATTCTAAAAAAAAACTAATCCTTTTTTGTTGAACTTGTTTGATGATATCATCATTAGTTTTAACTAAAATGTTATCAACTAATGTTTGATTTTTCATTGAGATAGTTGCATATGTTATTTGTATTAATAAGATAGACTTGTTTATTATAGTTAAACCGTATTTTTATAATTTCTAGTAAAATATAAACTAACTTTTCATATAGAAAATAAGTTCCTTTCAGCAAAATGACATTCATCATTTCAAAAGAATAATCAACTACAGTAAAATTACGTGTCTTTTTTAGTTCTATTTTATATAGTTATTCTTCTAATACTGAAACCTCAGTAATATTCACAATTTTATTTATTCCTTCTTTCTTCATGCTGATATTGAATGAAACATTCTTCTATACAATTGGAAATCTCTATAATTTCTAATTTGAATATTCATGCATAGAATTTGTCAAGTTTTTTTTTTTTTAAATACAGAATATCATTTTCACCCTTTCTAATCAACAAAACTTTTAATTTCATTGAAGCATAATAAATACATTTAACAAATCTTCGAACAAAGAAAATCGCTCATGGTCAAGTAAATATCATAGCATCATGTATTCTTTTCATATTCACACTTAGATGTCCTCTATACATTCATTAATCCATTCTTGCAAATGAAAAGACAAAAAAAAAGAAAACAATTGTGTCTTAGTGTCTTATTGCCACATAAAGCACATAAAAAGTTACATTCGATGAATATGAACGAGAATAAGAAACATGAAGTAAACTAAGCGAAGAAGAAAAAGAACAAGCGCATTGCACAAAGGCAAGTAACAAACTTTTTGTTGAATCATTCACATTAAAAGAAAGTCATACATATATATTATATGCGTGTGTTTGATGATGTAATATTTTGTTATAAAAAAGAAAAGATGATGAAGAACAACAATAGATGATCGACCAGATAATAAAGAAAAAAGAAAAGGAAAAAGAAGAATAGCCATACAAAATGTTTTGTTAGTTGTTACTGCTGATTTTTTTATATCGCGTCTTTTAAACGGTGATCAAAATACACAGAAAAAAAAAAAGAAAAGAAGCATTGGATAAAGAATGTTTATAAGTGAATATATATATTTTTCTATTTTGATTTGGTTTTTTCACTAATAATTGCATCCAAATCAAGATCAGCCTTGCACGTTGCTTGAATATGATTGCGAATACCTTGAAGTGCATTTTTTAAAGCATCTTTACTTGATGCACATAACATTTTACGTTTAATTGCTGCTGTATCTGGTGCCCTAGATTCAAAAAACAAAACATTAATTTAATTAAAAAATTTTTAAAATTTTACCATGATATAAAAAAGATTTCTGTACGTGAACCTTCTTTTGTATCATAAAAAATATCAATTATTGCGTATCGTACATCATTAGCAGGTAATGCATTAAGCATTTCAGCCCATTTTTTATCTAAATAATCAAATAAAAATTAAAAATAATATTTTAATTTGTTTTTTTTTTCTTTTACTTTTTTCCGCTGCTGTTGCATTTGGTGCGAATTTATTAACACCTTCATTTAATACAACAATTTTTGATATATCATCACTGAAACCAAGTACAAGATAACCAGTGGTTTTTTTAATTTTAAAATCATGAAATTTTTCGATTACAGAATTATCAACTTTAACACCAGATGCCTTTAAACAAACAAAAAAAAAATATTAGTAGTCAATAGATTTAAATAATTAAAAAAAGAATATTCTATAAAGAAATCTTTCACATGCTGTCTTACCATTAGAAAGAATCACAGAGATAAATAATTTATGTATATAGTTATGTGTATGTGTCTATTTTAGCCGAAGACGAAAAGAAAAAAAACAAAGAGGAATTTTACAACTGATGATAATAATGATGCGTTTAGTTCGGATCGTCTCTACTGATTTTTCTTTCGTCGTATCTCTTCTATCGATTTTTTCTTTCTCGGTGTGCACGCGACAACAATTCCACATAATGCATCATTGTTTGTATGGATGAATCACGACAGAGGTAACTATAAGAGAATGCATTTATCTTGTCTCATGTTTCATGTACACGTAGAAGCTAACAACAATTATCATTGGTCATCAAGAACGGGGCGTAATCCGTACGCATACTGAATATACTATGCGTAGTCATTTTCTCTTATGCAAATAGACATTCTAGCAACAGAGAGAACAAAATAGAATGATCACTTACTGAACCAGCCATATTGTCGGTAGTATTGACTAAATGTTAACAAAAAAAATGTAGGTGTCGATGAACTCGAAGAACGGTGAACGAACGTTGGTTACAGCGATCAAAAATAAACAACTAAAAGACCGAATAAGATAAGGCAACAACCACGAACACACGAAAAAAAAAGCCGAATAAATGAAGAGAAATGCATAACACAATCTACCTATTTTTATACCCACTTGTTTGTTGAATTATAGGGCTGATAGCAAGTAGAAAAACAAGACTCAAGAGAACAAGTATATTACTCATGATTTTTCTTTTTTTTTTGTTCTTTCTATTGTGTTCGGTTTAATTTTCGATGCAAGAGAGAAGACCAGGCCATTTTATAATGACCAAATAAGGAGATATGTGAATCAGACGAGAGAGAGCGAGAAAAAAAAACGAACGAATAAAACAATAACAACAGATGTTGTTTTAGTTATTTAACTTATTCATCAGGAGGTTTTATATGTTTATGTTAAATATGATCGTGTCGGATCATAAAATATTTTCTCTATGACAAATTTCCTATACAAAAAAATTCATAGGCCATAATGAAATTAAAGGACTAATGCCCTCGTTAGTTGTTCAACAATTGGTTTGAAATGAACCATTCACATGATGATTAGTCATTGAAATTGTGTTTTTCTTTCTTTTAATCATTTTCGAAGCAAACAAAATTTTAATATTTATTCAGAAATTTAATTTGAATAAAAAAAATTTTTTTTTCTGACAAGAAAAGAGAATCGTTTACAAATGTAATCATAATATTTTGAGATTATTTTTAAAGTGAAACAAATAATAACGTATGTCAATGATTTAGTTTTGTATTCATGGTGAACAATACACAATTGAAAAATCAGCATGATAATTTATGATCAATTGTAATCATTATTAATTATGAATTCTAAATAACATTTGGCAATCTCTTCACAAGATGTTTCGTAATAACAATCACAAGAGATTAATTATATTCAGTAGCTTGTATCGGAATCTACTATTCCTTGAAGAGATTTACATCATCACTATATTGTCATTTATTGAAGAAAAAAAAAGAAAAGACATCTATTCAACTATCTCATAAATTACGAGATGTGAATATGAATCTTTCCGATTATTAATACTATTATTCAATTTCAATTCGTCATATACAAATGAGTCCTGAAATTATTCAACAAGGTTTATTTTCAATTTTTGTTTCACTGTCATAAGCATTAGAAAGGATTCAAATAGTGATTCGAATAGAGAAAATGATCTCTAACACGAATATTAGGCAATAAGAATTATTGTCAAATTCGCAAAAACTAAACAACATCATAGAAAACTCGAAAACGTCTCCTTTTGTAGAAAATTGTTTACTCAATCGTTTTATGTAGTCTAAAAAAATTATATTTAAGCGACCTAGGAGCTGAAAAACTAATCTTTTAGTTTTCTGAAGTCCCTGTCTTTAGAAACTTTATGATAATTTTTATCTCTTTATATTTCTGTTGAAAACAATTTTTTCCATCAGAATCACTATTTGGAATCATGCTAGTGCTTACAGCAACAAAAAAGAATTGAAAATAAATATTCTATTGAATAATTTTGGTATCGATTGTATCTGCTATTATATCAATCCTTCTATCAAAACGTGTCATATTTTTTTAAGCTTTTTATTTCTAACAAATATCTTCACGAGCCCGAAAAAACTATCCTACTGCGATCCTATATAATATCTGCTGTTTCTAAGTCTAAGACTTTCATAGAGAAAAGCATAAAGAATTTCAGCCACGTTTTACTCAGCTAAGGGATTTTGAAGAATCTGAAATATCAATGATCTTATTCAGATTGAGTCATGTATAAAACCAGATAAGGAAAGTTTCAGCTTTTATTTATCTTTTTCTACATTTTTAGAAAAACAAATTTTAGCTGTGTATTCGTCACATTCTCACGATGTCGACAAACGTTTTTTTTACACTTTGAAATGATGATTAGATGTGGAGAATGAGTGACTGATTTGAGTTGTGACTAACGCATTAGAAAGAAGAATTTGCCATAATCACAAAGTGAGCGAAAAGCAATAAGTTGACTACCACCTGTCAGTCAACGGAATTCGGAATGGAAAAAAGTTTTTCACGCAGCACTCTACTTATAAGATTAATTGTAATTATTTTTAAAGGAGCATCGAAAGCGGGTTAGAACGTGAGTAAGGACACACAAAATATCCTCACTCACATCGACATCTATACCCTTGCGACAAATGTCTGGTTATCGAATTTTGTCGATTCTTCCATGAATTCAATTACACAAAGTGGATACATCAGATTAGCAAAGTCGAACTTTTAAGAATTTTATTTTCTGCATACGGTTCTAAGTTGTCGCAAGAATTTTTTCATTAGAAAATGACATCAATTATTAAATCTATCAACAACTATTCATAACAAGAAAATTTTCTTATTATTGAATGTATACAATAAAGAAACGAAAGAGAGAAAAAAAAAACTTTCAACAAGATTCACCACAGGAGTCTTGCCAGTTTCTTTTAATCAAGTGAAAGAAAATATACATAAAATAAAAAAAAAAGAATGCATCGTCATGGAGCAATGTATAATAATGTTCATACACATTATCCTCCTTTTCCTTATCGTCATCATGGTATTAATGTTTGTTCATCATATGACATTGCAGAACCATTACCAATATCCGATATGAATATGTGTGCTTCACCATATTGTCAAGATTATGCTTATAGACGAGGTATTCCATATATCGATTCTCCATATTATGATTATGCTCCACGTATTCTTCCACGACAAGTTCCACCACCACTACCACCAATAGCTCTAACAAATGTTCACAATGATATTTATTATATGGTTGATGATTCTGATAACGTATATGATGATGAATATGGAAATCCTTATAGATTATCTCGATCGAAAGTTCAACTTGTTGATATAGCTCCAAAAACAAATATACGAACAAGTCCTAGTCGTTTAGTTGTATCAACACATCAAGCAAATCATGAACCACCAGAGCGAATTATTATACCTCGTTCAACCGCCGTACGACAGAGATCCCTTCCTGCATATGAAAGACCAAAACCTGTACGATTAGTACAATTATATAATTCAGCAGATCCTCGATATGTCGTATCGAATCGAAGACCAATGGCAAAAAAACTTCTTCCACTTGCAACTGTTTCACATCGTCCACAAAAGAGAACTATTAAAGTACGCTCATTATCACCATAAAATTTTCATAAAACATTTTGTTTATTAAATTTTAAGAAGTAGTTACATAGTTATTTCTTTTTTTACTTTTAAAAATAATCCATGTAAATTTTTTTTTGAAAATTTCCTGTGCATCTTTTAGCGTCATCTTTTCTTAGTAAGGTAAATATAGGAACATCCATTGGTTTTAACTTAATTACCAATCAAATACTTTTATACTGACACGTTGACACTAATTCAAAATTTATTGTTTTTGGTTTATCTATTAAATATTATGAACAGTGTGTTTTCTATTAACGGATGGATCAAGGAAATGTAAAAGTGTACAAGAACATTTACTACTTTTGAAATACATACTCTTTTACACATAGTTTTGTAAAAAGAAAAAATGTGCACTATTTACACGTTGTTGAAAGTATTTACATATTGGTTCTTAATTCTTAAAAGCTGATATTTCTTTTTTATTCACTTGAAAAATTTATTTTTTTTGTAGATTCTGCTGAAGAAAAAAAAGTGAATAATATATAAATTGTGTTCGATAAGAAAATATATTGTTTTAGATTTCTATTGAAAAATATTGCTTATAGATGGAATCTCTTTTTACTCAAACATCTGTTATAATTCATGAAATTAAAAATGATTTACTTTCATATGAAAATGCTCAAGATCGTCAAACAGATTTAGCTTGTACTAATCAGATTAATAATCAATTTCAACGTTTAGCCGAAATATGTGATCGACTTGATATACTTGTTAATAAAGAATCAGCACAAAGACGAGCACAATCAAGACAACGTCTTAATGAAATCAAATATGATATTAAACATTACCAAGTATGTTCTTTATTTAATAAACATCAAATAATCTAAAGGGGTCCTTAAAAACAAAAACAAAATTGCAATCAGTTTCTATGAAAATGACTTTTATTTAAGATAGTAATCATATAATCTGAAAGTGTTTGAATTTTTCTATTATTTTATATAGAGAAATAATTTGATGATTTTTTTTCTCTTCAAAGAATACATTTCAATAGCGTATGAAATAATGTTGGAAATAAACATAATACTAATGATAGCAGCTTTAAACTTCGTTTTATATTTATTGATCAATTAAATTGTCGACATTTCATCGATTCACTCGACATTTTCAAGACAATGATAGAGAAAGAAAAACACTTTAACAACAATATATATATGTAAACATATGATGTTTGACTCATTCAATGAATCGCTCCCACTAGTAACTAGAACAATCTAGTGTACACTAGATTGTTCTAGTTACTAGTGGTGAAAGAATCATTTACTGATAAATAGATCAGGTATTGATGCGGTACCTTAATTCTAATATTCATGTGAAAAATGCGTAGGTTATTTTTCGAGAGAAATGTTTTCGTAAAATGTTTAACATTCTGAAAATAGAAATAATTAATAATGTCACAAAGATTTTACGTTCCATGAAAGAATACAATTTTCTTTTTAGACAATCATTCATCAGTGATACATTTAAAAACAGTATATCTAGATAATCGTTTACATGACAGTATCTAATCGAAAATAAGTTTCAACATAATTTGAAAACTTAATAAAAGTTGCAAGCTTCTAAAATACAAAATAATAGAGGATTTCATTTCACGCATTATTAAAATGAATTCTTACTTTTTGTAATAAACTTATCAGTAATTAATAACCATTTGAAAAGAAGACTATTTCTTGACTGATCATGAGTTTAGCAAAACATACATCAGTTGATTTTTTTTTAATTTTGACTTATCTTTCTTCAGTTAATTATAGGGAACCAGAAATTGATCTAATTTCATTATGGATAATGCAAAATGTTCGTAGAGTCATTATGAAATTAAATGAGTATTGTAGTTTATTAATAATATATTGAGTATTTATTGGATTTTTGAAAAGAATAGATTGCTACATCGTGTTCATAACTTCTTTAGTGTATAAAAAAATTATTTCATGTTTTTTTTTCTCATGTTTAAATCTGAAAAAAGGCTTAAGGAACGTTATGTTAAAGGTCTAATAGACAGAAAGTGTCTAGATAAAAATTACACTTTGTCATTTGGAACCCATTATTATAAGAATATCAAATTGAGTTGTTTGAAGCATAGAGTGTATCGAAGTAATGCAAGAGAAATTTTGAAGGATTATGCCTGTCTTTGAAACTTCTGGAAGACTATCGTTTTGTATTAGTAGAGCTCAAGAAACGCTCTGAATTTCTTTTTCAAAAATAGTTAAACAGATATTCATCGATTATTTAATGTCTACTGAATGATTCATTACGGCTACTGACCTCGGGCTATTCGCATGCATCTTAGCTAGTAGGTGATTAAGCAGTGAGCATCGGGAGGTCAAGTAGTTAAGTGGCAGAGCTCTGGGTTAGGTCAGTCTTGTGTCCAAAGTTAAAGCTATAGCTACTTGTAAGAAAAATATACTAGTCGCAAGAAGTCCTGCTAGCGAGTAAAAATTACATAAACTTCATTTTTGACTACAAATGAAGCTCGGAAAACTCTGCTCACAAGTAGAAATTCGAGGTCGAAAAGTCTTAATGCAAAGAACTTACGATGACAACACTGATTTTTTTTCTAACACCTTAAAAAAGCTTTTTTGACACTTCTAATTTTACACCATTTAAATGCATGACTAATCTCTATGTCAAAAGACAGAATGATCACCTTCTTTGTCAATGTTTTATATTTTGACAAGATTTGAATGAAAAAAAAAAGGCATTTTTTGATTATGTAAACTGAGTGGTTGATTCAGAATTTAGTATCAACAAACTTTAATTGAAAAAAATAAACAAGAAAGATTCAGTTTTAAGCCAAACAATCTTGAAAACAACCGCATTTTTCAATAAAAAATAAAATAGTTTTTATATCTTGATTATTCGATCATTCATGGCAAAGTTGAAAAGTTGAAATTCAATTATTTAAAGTATTTGACGAAAGCACATACACACATGCGAAATAGTATTGAATAGTTTAATGATTGTTTTCAATTTTTAAATTTGATACTACTTTATTCGATATATTGTAAAATCGTTCCTATTTTTTCTTTCGTTAGACTGCATACAGTAGTATAACATCAAAAAAACAACAACGTGAAGAAGCTGAACGACAACGAGAATTATTACTTCATCGTAAATTTACACCGACAAATGTTAGTCCAAATGGTGCAACACATATTAATCTTGATCATTCATTAGAGTTTTCTCAACGACTTGATTCAACTCATCAACATGTTGATGGATTACTTGATCAAGCACGTGTAACGCTTAGAAGTCTTCAATTTCAAGGTTCAACCCTTAAAGATATTCGAAAAAAAATGATTTCAATGGGAAATATGCTTGGTTTATCATCAACTGTCATACATTCAATAGAAAGACGTACAGCAAGTGATTGGTGGATTTTATTCGGCGGAATGCTTGTAACTCTTATCATTATGTTTGTTCTTTATAAATGGCTTGTTTGAAAAAAAATAGAATTTTTTCAAAAGAATATATCAAAACTAGACGTGTCTTTCCTTTTTTTTCCTTTCCTTCCTTCTTTTTTTTTTTTGTTAAACCTTAGAAATATTCTCTTGAAGCGATAGCGTCAACCGTAACTCAGCTGTCTTTAAAACAGAATGAAGAAACAAAAGAAAAGAAAAAGAAACAAACATTTTTAACAATATTACTTGACATCCAGCGCAACAGTTGTTGTGTGTCGCGTGTTGTTGTGTTTGCCGTTGTTATGGCGTGTCAATTAAATTGAAAGTTAGGGTGCGAAGAAAAAAAAGATCAAAAACAATCGACATTTTCAAATTGGTTATATTACGAATAAGACATAAAGAGACATGGGCTGTGGAACAAGCAATAATACGTCGCGTGTACAAGCACCAACATTAAATAAAAAATCTGCCTTACCACCTATAGAACCACAATCAAAAAAGAAATCATCTTCAGCGAAATCAAATGGATCAAATGATAGTGGTATTGAAGACTCTGAACCTATTAAGAGTAAGTTCGAAATTTTTTGATATAACAATAGAAAAAAAAGAAAATTCTTTTACAATTAAGAAACACTTAGTTCATCAAAAATTCCTGTACCAGTTGATAATTTACACATTGAACATCATCAAAAATCTCGTCTAGGCTATGGTGAAACATTTGAGATCATTTCTGCACCAAAACCAGGTGCTTTAGCACCATTACGAAATGTTCCAAAATTTCTTGCTGCTAATAAACAAACACCTATTGTTGAATCTGATCTACAAGCTAAATTAGCTGAAAAACAAGAACGTGCTTCACGTAAACGTCAAGTAAGAAAATGAAAATTATTTTCTATGATTCATTCAATAAAAACACAATTTCTCCTACAGGAAATCGAAGAAGCACGTCGACAAGCATCGTCAAGAATAGGTCATCGAGCAACAACAAAACCAGCACCACAACCAATAACTACAACTGAACCATTGTCAACAACATCCAAACGTGATGAACGTCATCAACAATTATCAATGCTTCGTGATCAACTTCGTCATAGTAGTAGTAATAGTCTTTATGAACCAATGCATACTCCACGTACGCCTGGAGCTGATTCTGTAACAAGCGGAGCAATGGATATAGGAAATTTGACACCACGTCGAGGTGGTTTTGTAATAGGTGCTACAACGGCTTCACATTTCAAACCAGTTTATGACTAGACAATCATAAGATGATTTCTTTTCTTTTTTCTTTTTTCTTTTTTCTTTTTCTGTATATTCCTTATTATTTTTTGTTGCCATTAACATATGAAATTGCACTCAGTGTGAAAATATAAAAATCGTATGTTTCCTTTATAAACGAGTCAGTATTTTGTGTTTAATATAATCAATGATTTTGGATCAGTTTAAAAATCCGATAAAAATATTATCAATTTAAATATTTACTTAACTAATTCATAGAATTTATCTAGATGAAAACCATCATGGATAAAAAAAAAACAAATATATATATATATAATATACTTTGTCTTTTCTTGTTTTCATATTAGATTAAAATAAGAATATTTGATTTACATACAAGATAATAAAAAAAAAGCAAAAATCGAAGTGAGTCACATGTTACATATTTTGATTAAAAGAATGGCCTATGTATATATCTACAAGTTATTATAGTTAATGAATTTTCAAAGTCTGTAGATGAACAAAATTAGTAAGTGCTTTGATTTTTGTTTGTGTATAAAATAAAAACAATTCTCATCTTAAGTTACACCGTCTGTTATGATAGATCAAATTACATTGTATGCCATGTTTAACTAGATATAATATTTAATTGGTGATGAACCTTAACAAACACTTGCAAAGAACAAATGCCAGAAGGTAAACAGCAGTAATATCAACACAATTACTAAGAAAAAGTAAAAAGTTTTCGTAAATTTATTTTCATTTGAAAAAAAAACTCTGTTGTTTTTAGAACTGCAAAGTAAAACATAAGAACAACAGCATTATGGACAAAGTATTTGCAGTATTTATAAGTTTTCAATACTTTGAAATGCAAACAAAATCGAATTAACATAGACTAAGTTAGCATTAATGGTCATGATGAATCATCAAAACTTAAGTCATACTAATTATGATAATGGATATTTGCGTAGGAAAAAATAATATTTTTTTAAGATGCATCTTATTTCGTATACAATTCAGATATGAATCAGAAAAATTTGAGACACTTTGTTCCATTTGAGTATTAATTTCTTTTCAGTAAAGTATGGTGAATCATGATTATTCACTTTAAATATTTCATTTTTCTTATAGTGACTGAAAAATAACATCCAAAACAAAAAAGTCAAGATATCATAAACTGATAAGATAATCACTATATTTATAAATTATTGATAATTAAATGATAATTCTATGGAGAAACAAAAGAAAATGTAATCTAATAAAGAAAATTCTTAAGAATTTTCCTAAAGCAGTGTTAACCTACTTGACCAAATAAACATTATATGCAATTTTTGTTCAAATATTTTATTGTTTTTTATTATTATTGGCAAATTTATTACATAAAAAGTCGCATAGAATTCAATTCTTTAAATTATTTTTCTTTTGTATATGACAACTAATAAAGGATACATTAGAATAGCAATCAAATGTTTTTATTTATAGATGAGTACATGGGAAAAGTTTAAAGACAAACTTTCTAATCCTATTTTTCACTATGGAGTTGGTAAGAATATCTTAATTCATTCAATTCTTTTTAAACTGAATAAATTGATGTATTTTATTTCAAGCAATATGTTCATTTAATGCTTCATCACCAGATCAACTATCTCTATTATTAGGTGATGGTGTACATGTACGCGAAGAATGTGATGGTAAATTATGAATAGAGAATCATTTACAATTTCAAAAATTATTTATTGTTTTAGAATGGTATTTTGGATCATTAGCTAACCAACCTCAGATATCTGGAATTTTCCCAAAAAGTTTTATTCATTTAAAACCAGTGATTGTTGATAATAACCAGTAAATATGTTATGTATTCATTTTTAAAAAAATTTTATTTAATGATTATGAATAGAATTACAAGTATTACAAATGAAGATTCCCTAGCCAGTGATCTTATTGGAATCTTACGAGAGTGGGGTACGAAAAGATACACAAATTTCTCAGTTTGATGGTTGATTTTTGTTCTCTTTTTTCAGCACATCATGTTGAACAATTTTATAAAGTTTCTATAATAAAAATTTCAATGATTTGAATGGTATAATCATTTTTTTTTAGGATGATCAAAAGGTTAAAGTCAATATAGTATCAAAATTAATGACAGATCTTATACGACATCGACATCGATTAATGTGTTTTTCTTATACACAGGTTTTCTTTTTAATGATTATCATTTTTATTTATTATTTGATACGTATTAGGAAGAGTTAATTGAATTAAAACAGACAATTGTTGATTTAATTGATCAAGGCACACGGTATGAAAATTTTCATGCATTATGAATTAATTTTACGTTTTTATTCTATTAGACTTTTACAACTTGATCTGATTATACGTGATAAAAATTTAAATGTTGCTAATCCATCCGATACAAGTACACATGATTTATTAAATTCATTGCTGCGTATAGAAAAGAAATCATTACATGATGTAAATAATTGATTTAAAAATTCAGAATATTGTTTTTTTTTCAAAACATGTTTTTAAACATTTAGGTAGAAAAACCTCGTCCACATCCTGATTTTCAACTAGCTAGTACTCAATCAATGTTAGTTACATTAGAAAAAATCGATATTTCTATTTCCGATAATATTGAATTATGGTGTACTTTATATGATTATTCATCAGATGAAAGTGGTGTTGAATTAATACCAAGGTATCAATTGATTTTAGTGCTACACTCGAAAAGAAAAATTCTGTTACGAAAACAAAAAAGAAGTTTCCGACTTCATATCCGCTGAGGAACCTTTTTAGGCTCCGAAACGAAATTATTTTATAGGATGCCGTGGATAATAGTCTTCGCTTTAGCCGATCATAACCATTGTATGTGTTGAAGGTCTAAAAATTTGTGTACAGGCACTTCATCAAGAATGTAGGCCATTGGCATTGCGGCGCAATTATTTATTAATTAAAAAAAGGGGTTATAATGGATGACACTTATATTTATTGTCAATCTCATAACTGTGAAAAGAAGAGTATTGTGTCAGCCGAATTCTCAATATGTAATGCTATGTCCCAGTTTTCTAAATTATTAAATTTATTGCAGTTCATTAATCCTTTCAAAGACTTACATGTAAAAATATCAAGAGTAAGTCATATTTTTACTATGAAACAGTGCAAAATTTTGTAGGCAGTCGATTTTAGGTTATAATATTCAGAACAAAAAATAAATGGCGTCCATCATAACTTTCTTTGTAATTAAACAATAACAGTGCCGCAATTTTGATGACTTACATTCTTTGTAAAGGTCGTGTATACAGATTTTCAGACCTCTAGCACATACAATAACCGAGATCGTCTAGGGCGGAGACTTTTGTCCACTATTGTATATTTTTATTTTTTCTTATTTAAGTGAAACATTTGTGATTCGAGATAAAGAAGCTCTTCGTACACAAGAACATACAGTTGCTTTTACGGATATTAGCCGTTCACGTCCAATAAAATCTATGACTAGCATGAACACACCATCGATTAAATATCTTGTTTTATATGTCATTCGAATGGGAACAATGTATACAAGTGATAATAATAAAGATATATATGATGCAAGTAGTACTAATTTGAAAAGAACAAAAAATGAAACAAATGACTTACGTCGACCTTATATGGTTGCATGTAAGATTCAAGTATTTTTTTTTTCGAATTTTTATATTTTTAATTTATTTTTGAAGTAATTAATATGTCACAACAACTTGATTGTCATAGTCGTATGAAAGCGTCACCATCAGAAAAAGAACTTATTGTACCATTTGGTTTTAATATGTAAATAATAATATTTTTTTTTTATAAATAGAGACTTTCGATTATTATATACATATATAGGTGGGATGATCGTGATACTCTTGTTTCTATTTTTCAAAAAACAACAAAATCAAATGATGTAGAATTACTTAAAAAGCATAGATTAAAATTACAAATTTTAACTGGTGGATTTCGTGAAGTAAACAATATTCTGTTTTTTTTTTCTGTTAAATAATTATAATTATATATTTTGTATAGTTAAAAAATGATTATCCACATTTACTACATGGTGATGTATGTGTATGTCGAAAACTTGATTTTCCTGAAGTTATCAATGCGGATGATCTTCGAAATGATATTTATGTTACTGTTTATGGAGCTGAATTTGCTAAAAGTGGCAATTATGAATATACAGCTGAACTTTGTGATGAAAATGAAAATCCAATTCCAGTAAGTTATACAAAATTTACGTTCGGGTTGTTTTCTTTTTCCGTACTTGATTTCAAATTTGAGATTTCCATGGGACAGTAGCATTGGCCAAGTTAATCCTGGATCATGACAGGCTCTAGTCGTCATGAGAAATACATAGGATGCGTTTGTCATCGAATACAAAAAAACTAGAAAAAAACTATCTCCTATCTTGGAAACAACTCTTCTATCCCGATTAGAAAATTTTATTGAGATTCTCAAAGTGCGGTTCGACCGGGTTCGAATCCGATGGATTCTATAGAGCAGTCTCAGAATCGATCCTACTTCGATTCAGTTCCATTTTGGTTCAGTCGTGATTCATCATAATACAAGAAGATAGATGATAATCATGATAGTTTTCATTTATCTTCATGATTAGTCATTTTGAAGAATTCATTCTTGAATAGTCATTGGCTGAGTAGAATACATATTATAATCTAGTTTAAACCAATTGACGTATCAGCGATTATTGTTAAGATACGCATATATTGAATACAAAAAACTATTCACAATTACCTATCATAATGTATTTGTAATTAATTATCAAGATTTACAATTAGCAATTCGATGCAATAAAGTTGTACAAACAAACGACTTAATAATCATTATGTATATCATGTGTCTGTGCCTTATAAATGCTGATAACTTTTGTATTTTTCTTGTTATTCTTTATCTTACAGGTTAATCTCTTTTATCTAATACATAATTATTGAATTATTGTAATTGATAATATTAGGATCCAAATGAGATAGATTATCGAATGCAACCGAAACAGGGTTAAACATTTTTACGTATCTTGCTACTCAAATAAGAGTAATGAGCAATACAATATTTTAATGAATAGTCGAATCTAAGATATCATTTGTAAATCTATATACCATAGATATCCATTGGAGTTGAAAATTCGCCACTGTGTTAAATTAACACATTTTAAATCCATTAGCTTCATCACAATTCTGACTGTTGGACTTGTAGACATTCAAAATGGGTGCAAATTCATACAACTTTACAATCTCTCTAAAAACAGTTGCCACGGACACCATCGCGGCGGCATCCAATTAATCAGTTGAGTCGATTGAAATTTAATTGTAATTTTGTTTTTATTTTACAAGGGTTTATTAAATGTTGGTGTGAATAGTACAACTGATCTTTTTCATCGTTCAATTGTTTGTATAAAAACTGATAAACCAAAATGGAACGAAACATTTCGAGTATGATATAATTCAAATTGACAAAGAATATGTTTTTTTAAAATGATATTTATTTTTAAGATTGCTATTCCATTTTCTATCAGTGCAGAAGATATGCGTCAATATCATGTTCGTTTTTTATTTAAACAACGTCATTCAAATGATGGTAAATTTTTGAGATTTACTCGAAAAATCTTGAAGATTGAGCTTTTTTTTAGTAAAAGATAAATCTGAAAAACCATTTGCATTAGCATTTTTACCATTAATTGAAAAAGCTGGAACAGTTATTCAAGATGGACATCGACATTTAGTTGTTTACAAAGTTTGTATAAAATTCTAATTTCAATAATAAATAAAAAATCATCTTAAAATCTTTAGATAACACAACGTAAATCTGATACAAATATATCAAGTTATATAAATTTACAAGCTGTACAAATAAGTGCACCAATAAATTTAACGAAAGATGCTTATAATGGTTCTCATCGTTTGTCACTTGAGGAAGCTTCATCACGTTTTTATCAACCATCAGATTATTTTTCACCAAGTTATCGTGAACATTTTCTTGTTAAAGTTAAAGTTATATCAACACAATTAACACAAATACGTATGTGAATAAAACTCTTATTAAAAATTAACTTTTCTTTTGTTCTATTTTTAGCTATCATTTTAACTTTACTAACATGGACACCAAAAGATTCATCAATTTATTTACTTGAATTACTTGAAAAATTTGTTGATCATCTCGGTGGAATAAATACAACAGGTACAGGTGTATCTGAACAAAGAACTGTAAGTATGATGTTACCATCAGATATAATTGAACGTGCAACAGAAGTTGTTAAAAATTTACAAAATATTTTTGATAAATTATTTGAAATATTAACATCACAAGAAAATGAATTAAAAACACGAGAACAAGAACAATTTGGAATTCCAATTGATTTAAATAAAATTCATCAAACTGCATTTCATGCTTTAGTATGTATTATATATTGAAATTTTTGTATATTTACTTTAATGAAAGAATATATTTAGATTTGTATCTTGGATTTAATTTCAATGAAACAATTTGAATCATTTCGAACTGTGCTCGATGATTATATTAAGAATAAATTTAGTTCAACATTAACATATAAGTAAGTCACTTATGAGAAAAATCTCGCAACTAATTAATCATTTTGGAGTTGGAACTAGAGATATTCGAAACCGAGTTTTTTTTGGTTCTGATCTAAAGAAAACTATTCCAGAGTTCATTCATATAAACACTTAAAAAAAGCCCTTCAATATTCGTTTTTTGATTTATTTAGTTGACGAATCAGTGCCTCTTTGGGGTATCTTTCTTGAATTATAGTGTGATCCATATGATTAGCACAAGTGCGTTCTCGTAATTCCGATCCCGGTCTCAATAACTTCTCTTTCTCATGGTCCAACTTCCACATATCTGTAATCCGGACTATGGGTATCATGTAGAATCCAAATGAGTTTTGAATATCTTGAATTCAGAAATATCAGAAAAACTGATTTTCGAATTTCTACTTCCAAGTTTGTAGAGACACTGTTCTTAATGAGAATAGTTTATTGTTAAAGTTTCAAGTCTTTTGATATGCTTCTATCCTGACACAAGAACATCAAATATGGCAGTGTATATGAGCGATATAAACGACACTCTTTTACCATAGCTATATTATAAAGTTGGAACAATGACAAAAGCTGAAGCATTCACAAAAAAAATGCATTCTTATTAAGGACTATTTTTGTGCACAGTTTCAAGTCGAAATTCGAAAACTACTGTAAAAACTTAGTCATCAAAATGATTAATCAATAGGGAGACTTCTCTTGGTATAGTTTTACATAATTGTGTTCACAGGAAAGATTTTACTAAATACGATCGAATATTTTTAATTTGATTTCATAATATTATCTCTGTTATTCTAATAGGGAACATTCATTAGAACTTTACTGTTATATAGAGTCCGTTGGATTGATCGCGGATTCGGGTCCAAAAATTTTGAATCTAATGAGCTCCACTCTCATAAAAAGAAATCATTCAATGAACAACAATTTACAATCTCTTTTTTCTTTAGTGTTCTACTCCATTTGATTAATATAACATTAACAAAATATGTTGAACATACTAAATCTGATTTAAATATGACTGCTTATTGTGTTAAAATGTTAAAACAACTTGAATATCTTTTTAAATTAATTGTACATTCACGTGTTTTATATGCAAAGTATGATTTAAATTTAAGCTTTTCAAAGAAAAGAAAAACCCGTAAGATATTTGATTGAATAAATTTAGATGGAAAAATAATGCTGATCAAAATCAATTTGATCAATTAATTAAAAATGTTTTACGTTCATTTACTCGTGTTTTAACCTTTTCTGATGATCATGCATCTGCTGCACAAGGTCTTATTTTACGACTTTATCCATCTGTTGTACTTGAACTTCTTACTGTAAATGTATTTAATGCTGTTGTTTTAAGGTAAAAAAAGAAATAAACGAAGAAAAAAATAACTTCTATGAAATCAATTTTCATATTAATAGTGAATTAACAGCACGTGAATTTCTAGCTGCATTACCAGCAAAACGATTAACACCACAAAAATTACGTTGTTTAAATGATTTAGCTCGTGGTTTACTTATGCAAATACCTGGTTTGATAATAAAATATTTTATTAAATTAAATTTCTTTTTCTTTTTTAAATTCTTTTGATTCATGTAGAAAGTCGTCGAATAATTCTTAAAGTTATTGTAACAGATGTTTCAATGTTATGTAATCATTTTATAACTGAAAAACAAAATTCCGATGATTTTCGTCTTTCAATTATTAATCAACAATCTTCAACATTTTTAATTGATCAAAAAGATCGTGATCATTTAAATTTATGTTCGAAAATTGTTGGACATATAATGAATCATTTATTTATTAGAAAAGTATATTGAAGAAATATTTTTCTTATTAACTTATGTCTTGTTTTTCGTTAGACTTCAGGTGATATTGCAATAGTCGTTGAGAAACTTCTTCGAGTATTCATGCAAATATTACTTATTATTCGAGTAAAAGAACGAGAATTAGCAGTAAGTGTTTTCAATAAAAACAATATATTTCAAAATTAATCTTTAATATAATCATAGATAAACTTTGCTACGGGTATCATTGCTATACTGCGTACAATGGATGATGAACATTATATTGAGTTTTTACGACAAATGGATGATATTAGTTTACATGATTTTTTTCTTGATGCATTTGGTCTTATTAAAGATCTGGTTACAATACCAATTTTTTCAAATGATTGGTCTGAAATGCTTTTATTACAAAATTCGTAAATAAAATTTATAAAAAAAAAAAAAGTTGTTGTTAAAAAAACAAATATACTCTTTAGAATATTTGTCCGTGCAATGAATAAATTTGTTTCTCGACTAGTTGACGATTTAACTCATTTTAATGAACAGGTATTCTTCTTTTTCTCGAATAAATAATAACATTTATAATGTTGCTTTTTTTCAATTTAATTTTTGTTTATTAGTCAGTTGAATTATGGCAATTATATTTTGAATGTATTGTTCAATTTATAATTCAACCGTGTTTACAACTTGAATCATTTACAACTAATAAACGAAAACGTATTTTATCTCGATATAAAGATTTACGTATTGAAGCATCAAATGATTTTAAAACTATGTGGTTTTGTTTATGTAAGTTAAATAAAAAAGTAAATAAATGAAAAGAATTATAAAGAAATTTTATCTTTAGATGAACAACATAAATTATATTTTATTCCAAGTCAAATCTATGGTGTTTTACGTGTCAGTCTTATACCTGTTCAAGATATACGAACAGCAATGATTCGAGTTTTATGTGATATGATTTATGTTATTAATAAACATAATGATAATTTATTAATATTTGAAAATGAATTTGTTACTGTAATGGATAAATTTGCTAATGAACCGTTAGTTGATAAAAATTTTAAAGAATATTTAATTAATGCGTATGTATTGAAATATTTTCAAAAGATATTTTTATTAAATATTTATTTGTTATAGAATTGATGATTTTTGTAAAGCAAAAAAACTTGCAAAAAATGGTTCAAAATTAGTTGATATGATTGATAATCTTTTATCTCGAATTATTGAATTACGTGCTGCTGTTAATGACATTGAAACAGCTGCTTTAGATCTTCAAATGCATTGTGTTCGAAGTTTAATGGTATGTATTAAAATTTAAAACAAAAAAGTCAATAGACTGAATAGTCGTTTACATGATAAACATTCATGTCATTGAAATTGTTAGCTACTCAAAACCCAACAATTAAGTTTAAGTCGCAGTTTTGACTATCGTCTTGATATCCGATAGAGTTCTACTTAGATATGAGTGGAATCATCTGACCAACATCTACCAATCATTTCATAATATAATATGTTTCATTGTTTTTTTGAATAACTTTTGATAGAAATATCATAGAGACCTTCGGTTATCAGCACTCAACAGAGAACACCTGGGTTTCATTGAAGTATATCGAAATTTGATTGGTCAGCAATTGATCCATGAGATGATCTCTTGGTGGAGATTTTCAAAAACGATATTCTGAAGCTATTTTTCTTACGATTTAGACTTTTCATAGAACTAATCTATAGAAAAAGTTCTTTTTTTCGACCTACGCAAGACCGACATTTCTAGCTTATCCCATTCGAGAGTTATAAGAAATTTTCTGAGATCTTCAATTTTAACCTACTGATCTGTGATCACTCAGAAAAGTAGCTAAGAAGAAGTAATTCACAATCCTAAGTCGAATGGTGATATTTGTTTTAACGTTATATTTGATCTGACTCTGTTATCTCAATGTTTTCGAAACGCCGACTCATTCGTTACATAGAAACTGATTGTGGAATTTCAGAAATATTGACATCACAGAAACAGATCATTTCGAACCTAAAAATCAATATCATCATTCGACTCGGTGTGGTGAATTATCTCTGCCGAGTCGCTTTTCGAGATGATCATAGATCCATTGACTGAAATCGATGGTCTTGGAAAAAGTCTTATAACTCTCGAATAGGATAAGCTGGAAATGTTGATATTGCGCCAATTGAAAGAGAAATAGCTTCCAAATATAGTTTTCAAGAACTTTTACCAAGAGCTCTTCTGATTGGTCGACGATCACTACTCAAATTTCGATATATTTCGATTGTTGTGGATCTTCTCTGTCGAATGGTGAAAAATGCACGTCTCTATAATATTCCTATCATACAGTTATTCAAAAAACAGTGAAGTACATTATATTTTAAGATGGAATGTAATTAGTTTTCTAGTTGATGAGGAAAAAAATTCATTTTTCATTGCATCGAGAAAAAGACGTGACCACTGTCGATTTAATTTTGGTTCTTGATAAAGATTAATTTTTCTCAGAATTTCGACAGAGACTCCATGTCACAAACTATATCTATGGTGAAATTTTCAGCAGAATCAGACTTCAAAAAACCTAAACACATGTTCGGGAAAACCTTTTCATAGTGATTTTCTAGCGTGATGAGTCCTTTACAAAACGCACTATTTAGTCTTCAAAAATACTGTTTCCACTTACAGAATTCGTATAAGGGAACTATTGTAGAGCAAATTTTTGTCCTTTTTTTTTATCACATCGTTCACGCTACTTTTTCTATAATAACTCGACAGAACAAAGATTTATAGCGCGGAGTTTGTTAGACTATATAGAATAACTTAACATACATCTGTTACACAAAACAATTAGCTAAAAGAACACTTCAAATTTCAGAGATATAAACAGAAATCACCTCATATTTTCATTTGATTTCTTTCTAACTAAGGAATTTTATGAACGACTTGGTCATTTGCCAATGTATATTAAATATATCTATCAATTATATGAAATGAATCGCCGTTTACAGAATAAAATTGAAGCTGGTCATACATTAATGTTACATGCAAAATTACTTGATGTAAAATTTTTTTTTCTTTATTAATAATAAAACTAAGTCTGTTTTTTTTTATATTTAGTGGGATTCAGATAAAAGTCTTGAAGAAGTTCACATAAAATATACTCAAACACATCAAACAGTTAAAACACATGATCAATTAAAGAAAAAACTGTATCGTGATATAATACAATTATTTGATGATGGAGATGTAAAATAAATTGTCTTTTTTTTTTAAACAAATATAAAAGAAAAATACTTTAGGCTTGGGAAAAAGCAATTGAAGTTTGTAAAGAATTACAAATACAATATGAACAATCATTTGAATATGATAATCTTAGTTCATTATTAGTAAAATCAAAAATTTTATCTATTATCTAGTTCTATAAGATTTTTATTATTTAGTTAAATCAATCTCGACTTTATGTACATATAATGGATGCAAGTAGACATCGTTTCGAACAAGAATATTTTCGTATTGGTTGTTATGGAATGGGCTTTCATGATTTTCTTCAAGTAAAATGATTTATTTTTAATATTATTAAGAAAATAAATATTCTTGTAATAATAGAATCACGTTTTTGTTTATCGATCTGAACCAGGACAAAGATTAAGTGATGTTCGAGAAAAACTTCAAACGATATTTCCACATGCAATTCTTCTTGATCCAATTATTAATATTGAAGACTATCATCGTCGAAGTACTTCACAATGTAAAAAAATAATTTTCATAATAAAAAATATACACAGCTACTCACAAAATTATTCTACCAGGTTTATTTTTCTATATTTTTCCACTGTCGCAAACGTTAAGAAAAACAGAAATAGTCATTTGAGTAGAAAATTTTATTTTTAACAAAAATTTCTGAATGTGAAAATGATCGCTAATTTTTTCCGAGGATAGGATTTGTGAAAAACGAAGTTTTTTAAGTTCTAGAATTAGCAATAGTGATTCCATCAGAGTTACTTTGAATAAAAGATGATATTTTCATTTAAGATAATAAGAAAAATAACTTTTGTGTAGTTCCGCGAGATATTTCGAAAGTCCTATTCTCGAACAAACTAGCAATCATTTTTACCTTCAAAAATCTTTGTTAGAAATAAAATCCTTTACTCAAATCACTATTTGAATTCTTCATAATTTTTGACGGCAGCCGAAAAACATTGAAAATAAATCTGATCGAATAATTTTGGAAGTCATTGTAGATCTATGAATACATTATTAATATTTGTTGTTTTTTTTATAAAGATGTCCAAGTACAAGTCGTGCAACCTATATCCGACGAAAAAGCAAGATTTGGAAATCGAAATATTCCAGAAGCTATTCTTCAGTAAGTTAAAACTAAAAAGAAAAATTTAGCAACAATTTATTCTCTCTCTCTCTCTCTCTTTCACTCTTGTTAAGATATTATCGTTCAAATGAAGTACGTCGATTTACTTATACACGTTTATTTGTACATGATGATGATCGAGATGCTACATCAGATATTGCTGTAAGGTTTATGTCAATACAAAACAAATATTTAATTTGACGACTTTTTTTTTTAATAGAAATTTTCAGCAGAAAAATATGAATTCTCTACTGCACTTACATTACCGAATACAACTCGATGGGTACCAGCAGGTCCATCAACAAAAGTGAATTATTCTTATATGAAAAATATAGAATATTTCGTTTTTGTTTAATTAAATTTTAGACTATATTAACACCATTAGAGAATGCAATTCATTTACTTGAAAAAACAAATCGAGAATTAAAAATTCTTGTTGAAGCTAATGAAACTGATCGTGAACTTAATGTGACACCATTATCTGGCAAAGTTAGATAAATAAAACAAAAGAAAATTTTTTATTAACATATATTCATTTTAGACTGCCGGAATTCTTGATGCAGCAGTTATGGGTGGTGCTAGTGTTATTGAACAAGTTAGCTTATTTTTATTTCATTGAAAAAAAAATTTCGTGTTTAAATTTCTAGGCATTTCTATCGAATGAATATCAAATAAAACATTCGAATGAATATACACGAACATTAACTGATAAAGTTAAACAATTACTTGCTGATCAAGTAGTTTTAATTGATGTTTTTTTTTTTATTGTTTGAGAACGTGCGTTTGTCTTATTAGATTCCTTTACTTGATCGAGCATTAATTATAATGCGACAAAAATCCAAACCAGACATGTTACCACATATCGAACACTTAAGTAATCTTTTAATTCATCGACAACGTTCTGTTGAACATCATTGTGGTAAACAACAGGTATAGATTTTATTTTATTTTATCTATATAATATATTTATTTAAATTAAAATAGATGCAAGGATTACGTTTAAGTATATTTGTGTAAGTGAATTGATATAAAATTCTTTTTTTTTTTCGAAATAGAAAAGATAAAATATAATCTTTTCAGACCATCAAGTGATCTTTCATCAAATACGTCTATTCATAGTCATCGTTCAAATACTGATATACAATTACGACAATCAGATTTAACAAGTTAATAAAATATTGATATATAAAAAATTTTTTATTTTTTATTTTAAATAGGAAGTCGAACATCATCAGCAAATTCAACAAATACTATATTTAAACCGACAGCAACATCATCACCACAAAAAAATCCTATTGAATTAAGAGAAGAAGTATTTATTAAATAGATAAAAAAATGTTAGTTGTCTTCTTATTATTATATATAGTTAACAAGTGTTCGACCACGTCGACCTCCACGTACAGCACCATCACTCAGTTCATCAGTTAGTTCTTTAGCTGGTGCATCAAATGATTCACCTCGTTCATCAACAACTGATGTCAATGTCAGTGGACAGTTTATCATCGGTAAAATCTCATATATGAAAATTAAAAAAAAGAAACTATCATATTTTTTTATGTTTAGCTTCGGCTAGTCAAACATTATTATCATCAGAAAGCTTAAATGAAGAATTAACTGATGAAATTATACAACGAAAATCAAATAATAATACCAATAAAACTTCACCTTCTCATCAGTTGGTTAATAAAATTCGTCAATTAACAAAATCATCAGAAGTAAAACAATAATATTCGAATTATCTGTAAGATATTCATTTGATTTACTTTTAGCAATTAACAAACGATATACCACCACGTCCACCACCAAAACCGCCCAAACTTCTTCGTTAAACATTTATTATCCAAATTCTAGTCAGATATTTTTGTACAAAATAATCTTATCCTTCTTTTTCTTTTTTTTTTATTATTCTCTATTAAATAGATCTAAAGTTATTTGTTTATTTCATATTTAGTCTATGATGGTATTATATTTATTTATACAACGTGATAGTTTTTTTTTTGCTCTCATAAAACGTATGTTTTCATTTCTGATATTGAAAGAATATAACTTAAAATCACATACTAAAAACGATCAAGTCTTTTAATCATTATTCATGTAATTATTGAAAATTTTAGAAGTTTTGACAATCGATATTTTTGTGAAAAGAACAAATGGAAGAAAAAACTAGTCATTGTAGTTTAGCACCGTTTTATGCCTGATTGTTGGACATCGCTCGAGCTCTGATTTTGGCTATGAGTAATAGGTTGAAGAAAATAGGATTTTTTAGTTTCTTCTCGAATATTTTGCTTTATTTCAGGAAGTTAACAACTGCAATTGTTAACATAGAATTTTCACTTGATATACAAGGCAGACTCGTATCCATTGCACATGATAGCAAGAAAAACTTTAACTAATGGATTGACTTCTTCGTCTATGTTACTGTTCTTCGATGCATCATTGCGTATATGTCCATAATCAATTGAAATATCTATCGTCATTATATTTTATGAACATGATACAGGATTCTGAATTGCTATGTAAACATGTTCGATAAACTGTGTTACTTTAGAATGTTGAAAAGATTGAAAAATCAGTCTTTTTAGAACTTTGAGTGTCCAGAAGAGATGAAATTAAAATGACCAAGGTCATCTTAAAAATAGAATATGAGAAAAAGCTGAAGTCCATTGGTACGGTAAATACTACACGATTGATGTTCACGTAGTTCTTAAACAAAGAGAAATATATAGTCTTGACTCATTTTTCCTTTTTTTGCAATTATTTTTCACATCAAGACGTGAATAGATATGACTTCGCCTCGTGTATAAAAGAAAAACTCTATGTTAACAATTGCAGACATCAACTAAAAATAGAACAAAAAAATTCAAGGAGAAAAACAAAATGGTCATTTTCTTAAACCTTTTACTCATAGTCAAAATATGGCCTCGAACAGTATCCGACAGTTAGGTGTGTTCCCTCATTAGCTTCCTGAACCGTTGTAAGAAGAATAGGTTTTCAGACATGACTAAGATCACTAAGAACACAAGATATGAGCCTTAGCACAAAATATTCACGCATTTTTCGCTCTTTTCGAACATAGGTCAGAATTTTCTATTGGGTCGATATTGGATAATTATCATTATATTGTTTCAAACTAGTAGTTGTACAAAATACAGCTTTGATCAATTTTGTATTTCGATTGAAATCTATCAAATTCAAAATATGAAATAATATTTAATGACTCAGGTAGAGACTTCTTCATCTGTTCCCTTCTGATGTAAATGCCTTTTTGCCTATAGATACTACATAGCGTTCTAATAAAAATCTCGAAAAGATGTGACTAACGTAAGCTATCGAAATCTCTTCTAGACACCCAAAGTTTTCTCAAAACTTGTATTTTCGACATTTGATCTGAAACTGTGCGCATATCGAAAGCTCAAACAAATTAATTTTGACGAAGGAATTCAGAAGTTCTCAACAATGTCTCTTCGAAATATGAAGCTTTCAAAAAAATGCATCTTGTATATACTATTCAACGAAAAGTGTCTGTATCTTGAAAGTCTCATATTTCAAAGAGATCTTGCTAAAAATTTCTCAAATTCTTTTTTACCATTAAAATCAGACACAGACAACTGAAGAGATTTTCTGATCAGTTTTCTAGATTTATTTTTTCTCTACAATTTGTGTCATTTACATTTGCATAACAGATTTCAAAACTTTTCTATTTTTAAAACAAGTTTTTAAAACAGTTTGAACATATATTTGACAATAGAGAAAAACTCTGCTTCTTGATTTTTTAAGTGGTAAAAAAATTAATAGATATTTTGTACCAAGACTTTCATTTTGTTGCGAAATCAAATGAAGTATTCTTATTATAAATTATATACATGTAAGCATAATCTAAGAGAATCTATTCACATCAATCATTTAGTTGCTAATGTGCGTGGCACATGCTACTATCTTAATTAAATATCAGTCATTATTCAACTTGTAGNGAATCGCGGTGCGGTTTACAGAGTAGATCTAAATTTTTGGTTGTTTTTTCAATGTTTTTTCGGTTTTCCCCCCCCTTGGAATGGAATTTGAGGAAAAGTAAAGAGTGCATTCGATAGAGCTCGTCGAGTTCTATCTTGGTCCGTAGAGTTTGGGTTTTGGTCCCAACTGTGGGCGAATCCAGTTGCGATATACTCGAATCCAGGCCGGAAATATCCTACGTATCCAATCACTCTTATATATTGGACAAACTGTTTGAATTGGTATTAACATTTAGGATAAATAGAAGTTGACTAAACAGATTATTTGTTTCACGTTTGATGGGATTCGCCACATTATTTTACATATGGCAATGTATTTTAAAGGGGTTTGAAGAAAAAATGAAAAATCTATAGAAAATTCGTTTTCTTGATTGCAGTGCAAATCAAAGAAATGACTATGCTATCTAGACAAAAGTGAAATATTTAAAAAACAAAAGTTATACTCTTGAAGCGCAGTGTCTGCTGGGTCTAATGGCATATGGTAGAACAGGGCTATATCTTTTAACAGAAAAAAACTAGATAGACTTTCGACAATGTTGACAAGATGTCATTTTTTGCATATTTTGGTCGATATTCTTTAAGAAATTCCATCGATAAATTTTCGCAAAGTGGTATCAAAAATAGATTCAGTAGACGCAGCTTTTCACGAGGAATCCGAATATACCATTTTTAAAATTTCAACAGAACGAAATTTCTATTAAAATTTCAAAAAACATTGAAGATATCCATATTTTTAAGAAAAATGCGATTTTTCAACTGAATTGAAAAAAGTGGAAACTTTTTCACATAATCATTTCGAAAAAAAATTCAAAGAGATATATTCTTACTCAGCTCGACGAGCTCTATCTAATGGTGTATAAAAGAAAGAAAAAAAAAATTTTGCTTTAATTTTGGATTATTCTCACCTTATATTTCAAAGCAACTGGGTTTCGGAACGGCCATCTATGACCGATGTCCGTAAAAAAAACGAGGACGAAAAGGGAGCACCCCCAAAAAAAAAAGATTTATTATTTTTTTTAATTCATTCATATTATCCTGTTGAAAATATAGTTTATTTCTTATTCTGTTATCTCTAGATTTAAGTCATCATGAACATTGTGTAATTCGTCTTGTTCATCAAGTGTTATTTTCACATTTACAATAATATCAGGATAGATCTAAAGATTATGATTTACGTACATCACTTAATGCACTATATGAAACATTTGCTTATCAATATATGGAAGAATTGTTAAGATCGGATCGAGAACATGAACGTGTTCAATTTATGTATGATAAACATAAAACAAGTCTTGATTTAACTAAGCAAGTTGATAAAGAACTTATTAATGAAGATAAAGAAGAAGATGATAATGATAATGAACCATATACTACTGATGAAGATTCGTCTAGTAATCTACAGCAATTTTTTAATGAGTCATATGAATCAAATATGTTTATTCAAAATGTATTTATTGAATCACATGATCTTCATTTCCGAATCTTGCTCTATTTACTCGCATACATGTGAAAGTCGGTTAAGGTATGTTTTGTATTTATTTATCAATTTCAATCATCTTCTTATTAATATCCTAGTTTAACGAACATATATCATGAGTTTTTTTTATCTACAAAAAGAAGGATATATGAGTAGCAAACGGTGTTCGACCATTCTGAATGGTCCTTCATGAAAATAATCATACTATTCATTGCCTAGCCTTGCTTAATATTCATACGTTGTTTAATTTAATTAAAATAAGAATAAGCATCTATCGCTCAGTTCTAACACAAATTGAGTTCATTCTTTTCTCCTCAATTGTAGTATTGCATTACAACTGTTATTTAAGAGAGCACCCATGAGGTAGACCTAGCATCACCTCAATATATGAAGCACTTGATAAAGTCATTTTTAATTCTTTTTTATGCATTTGAGGTGTCAATGTCTTAAACTATCAACCTGAAAATTTTAGCTTCCAATACGCTTCCTTCGAAAAGTTAGTCAATACTGACCTTTAGTACTATCATACGTTCATGAGAAAAAAACCAGAAAAAATTTATATATAAAAATTATGCCTTTTTACATTGTGGCATATCATTCAAATCTCCTATAGAGTATATCAAAAGATAGGCCATCAGTAACTGAAAAAAAGAGATATTTAAAATATTACATATTATCAAGTCATTTAGGTTATATAGCCCAATAAACGTTAAAGCTGACACAATGAATGAGTTTTTGATAATTAATTTTTCGCAGTATATTTGCTATAGTTTTTGTTTTCAATCAAGAGATCCCAAGCTCAATTTTTCATATGTTATGTAACTTTTGGTTCTCTACAAAATCACAAAAAAATGATAAGAAAACACGTATGCTTTAATCGGAAAGTACTGAATATTGCTTGTAGTTGAGTGAATTCTCTGAAGCAAAACGATCCTGTACAATTTTACATGTCATTCACAAATGAAAATTTTCATGTCTGACACTCCTGAGAGAGGAATAGGTGAAATTTAGAAAAGTTTTTCTTTTCATGTAATTGAATAATGATCATCTCACGTGATAGAGCTTAAGATTCTGATCATAACCATATGCTGGAAGTCTATCATTAAACTTGATCTAGTCATATACAAAGTCAAATCGGGGATAGAATCCCATGCTATATGTAACAAGTCTATGACATTCAGAGGTCAATCCTATTTCACTAAATTATAAATTGTAATAGACTTCCAGCATATGGTTGTGATCAGAATCTTAAGCTCTATCACATGAGATGATCATTATTCAATTATATGGAAAGAAAAACTTTTCTCAATTTTGCCTATTCCTTCATTAGAGTTGTCAGTCATGAAAATTTTCATCTATGAATAACATAGAAAATTGCGCAGGATTATTTTCTTCCAGAGAATTCACTCGACTACAAGCAATGTTCACCATTTTCCGATTCAAACATATGTGGTTTTTTTTCCAATTTTTTATGATTTTGTAGAGAATTAAAAGTTACATAACATATGAAAAATTGAGCTTGGGATCTCTTGATTTAGAACAAAAACTGTAGCAAATATACTTCGAAAAATCGTGTGCCATTTCGAGATTCAGATTTTAAAAATAAAGTTCAACAATATCACTAATAAATAGAAGTGAGGTAGATAGATAATTAAAGAGCAACACACTACTTAAACATAGAAGTCAATATTAAAATGTTGATGTTGTCATTGTTCAAGTTTTATTTAACTGATGAGTTAGATTGGAGATTGTAGAAAACAAAAGATTTCCAATTAAAATATGCGGAGACAATTGAAACCTTTCAAACGGTATCACAGATTGAATACTTTGTAATCTAGATGCTTTAGATAACTTCTGTTTCTGTTTCTGAATAAAAACCTAATCATTAGAGTGGACTCAATCCATGAACGATTAACTTTCTGTCTCTAATCCAGTATCAATAGAAAAATGAAGAGTTTTTCTAATGTTCTATTAGAAAGTAAATATTTTACTTCTCTCAAGACATCACATCCTTGTTCTACTTTGGATTGTATCAAGTCACAACTGCTAATCATATATGGTATCCATTCGCTTTTTAGTTTGACTATTATCGCACATTATTTGTTATTCATTCTAAGTTGTTGAGAAATTATTTTGTTGTCAATTTGATCAATCAAACTCCGCTTTACAAAAGTTTATAAAAAATTAAATATAAATTCATCCGATGTATTTTTCATCATTACGAGTCAAATTCTTTATCTTTGATGTCAAATATACGAAGTTCAACTTTTCTCTTCTATCCAAACTGCGTGAATAGTACGGTTAATCGTTAAGACTAGCGGTAACTTATGGAATAACATTCTCTTATTAGTTCTGTACAAACCACATAAATAATGAATCGATCCTTCAATTAATAGGGCCAACATTAAATTTGATAGCTTTTGTATAATGAGCGTTATTCTAAATTCGCTTATAAGCAGGGCTGCCACGAATCAACCAACATTGGGAGGGGAGGGGGAGGATGGCGAGTTTTTTGGGGTATAGATATCAAGTGTTGAGAATTTTGGGGGGCGTACCATTATTTTTGCTAACAGAAACAAGAAAATTTTTGATGATTGGGAGGGTGTTACTCCCCCGACACTCTCTCGGCCGGGGCAGCCCTGCTTATAAGCCTCCCGTCAATAGGAATAGAGATACACATATATCGTGTATTGATGAGAGCGATTTGCATTCTTTGAAGTTTTTTTTCTTGCCACTTTCTATTTGTTTCTCTTTCATCAGAAGTATGTACTTATGCGTGAAAACTACATAATTCCTTCATTTTGATCGTTTCTCTTTCTCTTCTCTAAATGCAATCAATCGATGCAACTTCGTAAAAAGACAACATATTGATATTCTATATATTATCATCATGAAATAAAAGAGTTTCGTTCACTTTGAACAAAAAGAAATGATCACGATGAATCTACACATATAAACAATAACAGAGCAATTAAACATTTCATAATCTCAATAGGAAGAAATACAAGCAGAAAGTTGTTGTTCTTCTTAATGGTAAACCATATTTTTTCAGTCGTTGGATACAAATGTCGTTTCATTGTAATATGCATTTATTGTTCTATCATGATCATATCTTTTGTCCAGAATAAACGGTACTCTTGTATTTCATGATGATAATATATAGAGTATCAACATGCCGTCTTTTTTTTCGAATTTGCATCGATTGATTGCATTTAGAGAAGAGAAAGTAAGAGAGAAAAACAATCAAAGGAAAGGAACCATGTAGTTTTCACATAATAAGCAAATACTTTTGATGAAAGAGAAACGAACAGGTAGTGACAAGAAAAAAAAATTTAAAGAAGACAAGCTGTTCTTAGAAATACACGACATATGCTCATCCTTTAATATTATGCTTCTCTATTTTAAATTTAATGCATGGAGACCTATTGATACATTTTTTCTATACTTGTAGATCATCTTGCACAATTCTTCGTTGATATTTATTGATGAATTCTATGAACATTTGAAAAATGAATATCTAAAAATTAAAAGCCGGTTATCAAAGAATAACAATAATAATCATATTTATGATTATATACCTTTCAACGAAAATAATTATGAAGACTTCGTATTTTTACCATACTCAATTTTCTTTTTATTTTTGTCGAATATTCGACTTATTTTTTCTTTTAAATGAGATCCTTCTCATTGATCGATGTTAAACTGATTGCTGAAAATATAAAGTTCATCTATATCATAGCTTTTCTTTATATCATTTTTTCTTTGTAGATATTCATGTTTAAAAAATTGTCTATCAGTTCATATTTTATCCTAGTTATGATCGGTACGATCATAGGACTAATAGCTAGTTATTCTCTGGGAGTATTTCATCGACATTCGAAACAAATCGACGAGGCCATGTTACGTTTAGATTTACGTAAGCAGAATCGATCGAAAATATTAGAATACGTCAAATCAAATTGTTCTCAACTGATTGTTGAATATCCTGAATTTAATGTCTATCCACAGATTAATCTGTGTAGCGATTACGATTTATCATCGAAATTAGTTAAATTAACAATAATTTTATCAACATTGTATAATATCTATTTATTTTATATGTTATATCGTTCAATTCTATTATCAATTATTATAATGGGAATATCGTCGACTTTCTTATTCAATATGAACTTCTTCAATAATGGACAAATTCTTCATTTCTTAGATGTTACCTTAGTTTTCATTGGTTTTGTTCTGATTGTCGGTCATATTTTATTAACAAATTCCAATAATCAATTATAATTAGAAAGACGAAAAGCTGATTATGAAGAAAAAGGGTTATCAAAAACAACAAGGTCATATTGGTAATAATATTGATGATGAATAAGATTAACGCTAAAAATAATAATGTTCTTGTATGCAGTTTATTGTTAATGTTATATTATTGTACCATAATGAGTTGATTGATACAAAAGAAATTTTGTTTTTCAATTTCATGTTATATTCTATTTGCATATATTGTATAATAATAAATTCTATCGTTAATTGAAAAAATTTTTTATTCATAAAATACGAATGCTATTTGCACGTGTTTATTATTTTGTTTATAAGTATAATCAAATTTATTTAAAGGTTTTTCATGAAGGACTATCAAGTAATCAGATTAGAATCTGTTGATCAATATAATTGCCAATCAAGTATTTTAAACGATATATCAATTTCAATAAGATTTTCATAAATCCATTTAATGCAGTGCGAAACACAGCATTTAATTAGTCTAACCATTGATTAAATGGCAAAATAAGTCTCTTATACACATTCGTTATACCTATAGCAGATTTTAACAATCTATGATGTCTCTCGATGAACTTAGAAAGACTGAAATTGATTATTCTCGAAAGCTAAAACTTAATCAGTTCATACTTTTGTGTTGATTTCTTGAATATAATCATTTATCTGTGCTAAAACCAGAAAGAGCGTTATTAAGAATATTGAAAATATATATTCAAATCATTTAAAATTTCACTCACTATTATTTTCTTCGAAAATATACG